ATATTTGTCAGAACATAACTATGGTAAGTTGTGATCAGGAAATTGCTTATCTATTTTTTTTTCAATAAAATGGTCGAATATCTAAAGTATCGGAAATCTATCCTCATTAAGATAAACAAACAGCCTAATTGACTGAAAAAATTAGAATAAAAACTGTATATTATACTTAACAATCAAGATTATTAAGTAGAAACATGGTTTAAAACTTTTGAAATGATGAGAAAAACCGAACAACCTTTGTAAACATGCTGGTGAATGATAATGTAACCATAGTTATGATAATGTAAGGTTTAAATTGATATCATAAATGAATGAATGTTAGACTAACATTGAAAACCTGAAAGCACTGAACGGTGGTTTCGCTCTATTGTGGAACCCCTCAGCAATGTGCATCCACGATCCTCCCCACGGGATTCGAATCCAGGGCCCACAGTCTCACACGCGATCGCTTAACCTACTGATCCACTGAGCAGGTATCCTATGATGTTAATATTTAAACTCGACCAATCCACAAAATTTCGAGTCAATCATCCATTTTACTGAAGTAGATACTTATCTCTACCCGACAAGGCTCAGCTCCAATGGTCACAACACTAGGACGAAACGGACGTCCAGTTCATTCAGGTTTTCAACAGTGTTCTAACATCAATCGGTTCATGATCTTAATCAAAAATATCTTATTGTTCTTACCTTTATTTAGTTTCTCGTTCTCATTTTATAGTTTTCACCTATAATCAATAATGATGCAATCTATTCCATTCACTTATTAACCGATTAAATTATATATGTAATACATTTATTACTTTAAAAAATTTGCTAAATAATAAAAACTGTTATAAAATTTAATTAAAACTGTAAATTAATGACCATCATTTCTTCTATTATAATCTACCCTGTAAAAATGATGCCAATAATTAGATTTCCGGAAGTTTCATTTAATTAGATTAACTAAAACTTTATATTAGAGAAGTTTATGGTATGTTAAAGTATTCAATGCTTATTATTCAATTATATTATCATGATATCAAGGTCATTTGTACATTACGAAAAAAGAAACAAAACAACAAGAAAACATTATTTAACATATAAATAAGTGAAGAGAATGTTTGTAGATATTATAATAAATTTAATAGTTGAATTCATGACTTGTGACCAGTGGACTTCAAACAGGTCTATTGTGAGACAGTAACTCACTGATGACAATGGTGGACAATGGTAATAACTTCGTGGATTAATTAAAGTTAGATGCTGGCTCAGTGGTGTGGAGGTTGTGTTCGTGCGTGAATCTGATATGTTTTTTGTTGGAATCTCACGAGGCTGGATCGTGAATGAGTACTGTTGAGAAATTCCATACTCGAACGAAACGGCCATCTATTACTTCCAGATTTTCCATAGTGATCTAGCTTTAATTGACTCGCGAATTCAACTATTAAACTATATTAAGTGTTTGCAAGTATACTACCGTAAAATTACCTAATAACTTTGAAATACTGATATAGAAGCTGGATGTTCGATTTAGTTTACCCATTTTTATAATGAAAACTATTATCTACAGCTATGCATAAGTCTAAGCATTAGTTACTCAAATACTTTTTTGCTGACGTACTGAAAATACTTACAAAAGTAAATATAATCGTTTTTGGAGATATTTTACATGATCTAGAAATGGATTTGATGTATGATTTCAAGAAGAATAGATCCATAATCACGATGACAATTCACTGTGTTCAGCATATTTTTACATTTAAAATGGGAAAATCGATTATATGCATAAACAAAATAAGTCACATAAGAGCGTAATATATGTTCACGTTTCTACAAAATTCAATAAAAGATTCTTATGAATTACTGTTTTCATTGTTAACATTCCAACAAATATGTTCAGATCTATATTGCTATGGTGACTGGTAGAGTAGTCTAGCTTATTACAAAGTTGATGGAATTTTTTTGTTAATTCTCTAATCAATTAAGTATTCATAGGCGAAATCTGGTGCATTTAGGTAGATAAAAAGAAATTACTTTTCATTAAAACACATACTCTGAATTAGCAACATCCATCGATAGCTTTAAAGTTATGAATAACATTAAAACAAACGCATACAATTTCAAGCTAGATTTATAAGTAATGTACACAAACGATCAATAACTGCTTATGAGAACATGAGTATTGTAACTAACAGAACAATCCAGAATACAGATCTTATCCTATCTAGATCATACCAGTTGAACATACCTCCCTCACGGCATTGATATTTACACCAGGACTCATCCAGTAACTTTTTTCTACAAACGCCCAATATATTGTTGACCAAGCAACTGATCGAATTTCAATTCCTAATATTAACGACCGGATAACTTAATGCCTTCTTAATAAGTGTGCTAAACATCATACTTGATGATCAGGTTTGAAATAGAATGAATTCATTATATTCTGTAAATCTTGTTCAACAATGTTTCGGTTTATTAGATTAGTGTTAAATATTATTATTTAAGAATAGTATGTTTATTACAATAAAACGTAAATGATCATGCAAAGTAGACATAATCTATGACAGAATGCCTGAATGCACTGAAAAGCTGTAATGCAAAATATGCCAACTGAGTATTCTAAAAGAGTTAAGCATTTGCTCACGAGACTGAAGTATATGGGTTCGAGTTCCTTGTGCGTGATAATGGATGTGCACTGTTGAGGAGTCCCATACTAAGGCGAAACTGCTGTTCACTGCTTTTAGCTTTCAAAAGTCTTTTCTTAAATTTGACTTAAAATGTATAAGTTTAAATAATTAGAACTGCTTTGTTTTATTGTGATCCGATTGAATCATTTTGACTATGTAAATTTTTAAGCACCTATTGGATGAAGAATCAAGATTCAATTATTGACTAATGTGCAGGAATTCACTGTTATGATTCCAAAATGTAATAAATCTTATCAGTATGGGAATTTTTGGAGATAGTTGTATTTTAACAGTTGAATTCACGAGCCAATTATGGATCGATTGGAGCTAGACATAAACATCGTTCGATACTAGTTCAGGGATATACCGATTGAATTCGCCCGAGAAACCAAAGCTTCTGGGTTCTAGTATTTCATGCGGAATCGTGGATTCACACTGATGATACTATTGAGGGAAACATGGAGCTCATAAGTTAAACATTGGTGAATAACAGTTATTCATTGAAGTTTATAAACTGTTAGAAATTGGATAATATGATGCGACCTGTATGTATTTCGTTAGTCTGAACGTCTACAAACTAAAGTGTACTGTATTAAATAGTCACGTAAGCTAATTTGCTTTCTCAGAAAAAAATGTCAATTGATCATTAGAATGAAATAATTTAGTGACTAGGTTATATTTGTAACCTCATTTGACAATAAGCGTCTCAAATCAATTTATGATGCAATCTTTTATAAACTTCTATAGACATATATTTTCGGTATAACGATAAATACGAATCTACAGCTTAAGTAAATAATCTCGTCGAAAAGAAAATTTTCTTTGCCTAACTCTTTTTTTATTCGATGACACAATGAGTTATTTTAATTAATGAAATCTAATTGAGATTATAAATCAATCCATGTTAGACAACCATTGAAAATCTGGAATTCTAGTATGGAACTCCTCAGCAGTTCATATGCCGATCACGCGCGCAAGACTTCAGTCTAAAACCTTCAGTTTCGCGCAAATGTTTAACCTCTAAACCACTGAGCCGGGATCCAACAGTAATAATATATAACTTCAACCAATCCCCGAAGTTGAGTGACCAGCTTCCATTGTCTGAGGTAGATAACTACATCACATCCGACATGGATTAGCTCCAGTGACCATGGCTTCTCACTAGAACTCCAAGAATGCATTCACGAAGCTAGTCACTAGTGAACATATACTAACTATCAGTATAGGGTTATGGAGATTGCTAAGTTTTTGATTGAGATCGTTGAAAACCTAGAATCACTAGTCAACCTGGTATGAGACTCCTCAGCAGCACACGTAATTGATTATATGAATATGTTCAATGTAAAGTTGTTTTTCTAAAAAAAGTTCAGGAAAAATATCAACTTTCTCAATATATATGAATTTTAATAGTTGAGACCATGAGTTAATTGAAGCTAAACCTGGAAGCATTGGTCGATGTGTCGCCCAATTTCGTGGATTAGATGAAGTTAGATATTAACACCGTTTGATGCTGGCTAATTTAGTGGTCTAGATAATAAGCGTTCACGCGCCAGACTGATAAGTTCTGGGTTCGAATTTCGCGAGATGTGATCGTTGATGCGCACTGCTGAGGAGTCCTATATTAAGTTGAAACGGCCGTCCAGTGCTTTCAGATCTTCCATAGTGGTCTAACTTGAAATCAACTCATGATCTCAACTGTTAAAATTATTATAATATTCACAAAAACCCCTTCTGATATGAATTAACATATGCACACTAGTGAATGACTTCAAGAGGTATTTCGTGGAGTTCTAATGAGAAGCAGTGACCTATGGAGTTCAACTGGGTCTGTTGTGAGATAATTGCTTACTGATGAAAACTGTGGATGTGTCGCTCAATTTCATAGATTAATTAAAGTTACAAAGTAGCACCGTTAGATGCCGGCTCAATGGTTTAGAGGTAAGTCTTTCACATCTTAAGTTCGAATTTCGTACAACGTGATCGTGGATGCGCACTACTGAAGAGTTCCACACAAAGACGAAACGGTCATCCATTTCATCCAGGTTTTCTATAGTTATCTAGCTTCAAAATAACTCATGATCTCAACTATATAAATTAATAGATATCAAAATGAAAAGAATAAATTTGTCTAGTCAATTTTATTCATTCCTTGAATAAGATAAATATTTTATTAACCAATCAAAAAGTTCTCTCAAATAAATAATACTTTTTTTAAATATTTTTCAATAGCCTATTAAAAAAGAGATTGAATCAGATTGTACATAAATCTTAACTATTAACAATTTAAATATTTTATATTGATAATAATGATAATAAAAACAATCTATTCAATATACACTTATCATCATCAACATCATCACTGTCAACATCACCATCACCAACATCAACCTCAACCTCAACATTAATTGAAGTGTAATACACATTACATATATTAGAATAACTAATAACTAAAAGTCAATCAAAGTATATTAGTCTACTTATATTTATATAAAACGAGTAGTATCATCTATCAATAAATAAATAATTTGTTTATTCATTATTAAAGTCCATTATTATTATTATTATTTACAATAATTATTTTAATCATTCAAATGAATACATCATCAAAATCCGATAATTTTCTCGCACAATTTAAAGATATTAATTCAAATTCATTAAAATATTTTACTGCTGCACAATTTGTTGAAGTATGGAATCATTATGATACTGATGGTAAGTTATATTTTATTACAATAGTTAAGATCATGAGTGAATTAAAACTAGACTACCATGGAATACCTGGAAGCATTGGTTGGCTGTTAGGTTATATTGTGAGACTCATCAGCAGTGCGAAACCACAACCCCACCTCTCGGGATTCGAACCGAGGACCTATGAATCTTGCACTAGAAGTTAAGCGTTCAAGCGTGAGACCAACAAGTCCTGGGTTTCAATCTTGTAAGGCGAAGTCGTCGATTTGTCTAACAATAGAATGACATAACTTTCCAATGCTTACAGGCTTTTAATGGTGGTCTAGTTTCAATTGGTTCATGATCTCAACTATTGAAATTACTACAATATCTACAAAATCTCTTCTGATATATTTTATTACTTAAAAAATAATGCATACTACTGAAGTGTTTTGTATTAGCACGAAACAGTTGTTTAATACTACTAGGTTTACTATGGTAGTCAAACTTTAATTGACTCAAGAATTCAACTATTAAATTTATAAAAATTGAATTTTGAGATATTATTATTATTGATTACTTTATTTAAATTTCTCAGCACAAAGTATTTCAACAAGTTTCCGTTTCTTACTTCCGATAAATATTGAATGGTCGTTAGCTAGGAGTTACCAGTTCAGTTAATTGACATCTAAATAACATAAATTCTTTGCGTTGCATATTACCAGCAACCAAAATGTCTCTGATTAGGCACTTTTGTAACTTGTACAACGAAAGGTTGTACACTTTTCAGAAACACACCTGAATAGGTTATGCGACTAATTCATATAATGATCTATTGAAATAAACGAAAGACAGATAACTTGTTGAAATATCTAGGTGTCAGGAACGGATAGCCCAGATATTCAATCAACCCACCAATAAAAAAACTCACTTTTTTTCTCTTTAAAATACGAATATTTAGGATATTTGAATATAACACAAATATAATATAACGCCGAGTGAATTTAATCAAAATAAAAGTTTTCAGAAAACTTACGTACTCTTGTTACTCCTCGTGGATGAGCATAGGACGCCCACCAGCACTCTCCATTAAACCCTATTCTGGACAGTTGTTTCCAGCTCTTTCCAATTGTTATTCATCCTTTTCATATCTGCTTCTATTTCGCGATGTAATGTGTTCTTCTGCCTTCCTCTTCTCAAGCTTCCCTTCTGGATTGCAAGTTAGGGCTTGTCTTGTGATACAGTTTGGTGATTTCCGTAATACATGACCTATATATTTTCATCGTCTTTTCCTGATTTCCTATTCAGTTGGAAGCTGGTTTATTCTCTTCCACAGTAGACTGTTGCTGATGGTATCCGGTCAATAGATGTTGAGTATCTTGCGTTGACAACTATTTATAATTACTTGTACCTTCTTGATGATGGTTGTAGTATTTCGGGAAACAGAAAGCATATAATCGTTATTTCATTTTATCGTAGGATTATCCCATTATATACACTGATTGTCTTACAAATGCTTCAGTTTATGATAAGAAAATCATTTGTTACTTCTTATCTTCCTTCATTCTTAATTGAATATGAACTCATGATTAATACATTTTTCTTAAAAAATTAAGAAAGTGGTCACTTGTACCTTCAATAAACTTAACAGTATTACTTAATTACATAGAGTAATAAACTAATCGAATAATTAGTAATATGAAAGACTTTAAGATTATGCAATGTTTTAGTCTAATAATGTTAAACAGAAGTTTCTGAATCATACATATGTATATATAACAGGGACAGAGTTCGATAGAGAATTCTAATGGGCGACCTTTGCTCCTCCATTAAGGGTAATAGGTGTAAGTATATATAAGTACTTACCACCAGTAACTCAGGTTGTTTTTGTTTCTCTACCTGATTTGATTATCTTCAAGGAAACCATAAATTTTCATTGATTGATACTCCAATTTTACCGTTATTCTTAGAAAAGTAGCTTCTACTTTCTAGTTGTACTAATTATTACATTTCGTTATGAATATGTAATTTTTCTTATAAGAACTGTCTGTACGTAAAATATTGAATTAGACTGTACTATTAAACGTATATTATTAACTCTAACTGTTAAAATACCAAGTGATTTTTTAGTCTTTAACTAAGGTAAATACTTTGAAAACTAACTTTTTTTATCACCAATTATTATCTAGTGAGAAGCTGTGACCAGTGGAGTTCGACTAGGTTTTTTGTGAGATAGTAACTCACTGAAAACAGTGGTGGATGTGTCGCTCAATTTTCTGGATTAGTTGAAGTTATACAAGACTGATAATTCCTGGGTTCGAAGCACATAGGCAGGATCGTAGATGTGGACAGTTAAGGAATCTCGATACTAGGACGAAACGGTCGTCCAGTGCTTCCAGGTTTTCTATGGTGATCTAGCTTCAATCGACCCATGAATTCAACTATTAAATTACTAAATCTCGGCAAAACCTCCTTCTCATAATAATCATCTTATGCTCACTAGTGACTGCCTTCAAGAGGTATTTCCCGGAGTTCTAGTGAGAAGCCTTTACCAGTGGAGTTCAACCGGGTCTGTTGTGAGGTAATAATTCACTGAAGACATTGGTGGAGGGTGACTCAGTTTCATGGATTGGTTGAGATTAGACATTAACATCATTGGATACCGGCCACTTCAGCGGTCTAGAGATTAAGCGTTCGTGCGCGAGACCGATAGGTTCTGGGTACGCATCCTGCGGGTGGGTTTGTGGATGTGCACGGTTGAGGAGTCCCAAAAATAGGACGAAACGGTCGTCCAGTGCTTTCAGGTTCTCATGGTGTTCTAGCTTTAATTAACTCATTAATTCAACTATTTAAAAAATAATCTCTCTACAAGTTTTTAAAGCAAACAATTGATTTGATCAGAGTATAAAAGTATAAAGAATAAAACCATATATATTGATATAGTCCATGTAATCCGATAAGATATGAACTGAGAACATGAAAAAAATAATCGATCAACTTATATCGGTCATTATATCACTATGATTACAGTTATAAATAGTAGCATAATTTATGGATATCATATTGTTCTGTTTTGTTTCCTTAAAATTTATTCCTATTCATAAATATTAGACAAAACGAGAATAAAACTGTTTAAAGATTAAGATTAGATACTTTGTTGACGTTTTTTTCTCGCAGATACATTTAAGAGAGTAGTTCTAGTTCGTTTAGAGTATTAATATATTTGTATTAATTAAGAAATGAACTGTTGAAGTCGCCGTAGGTATATGTAGTTTGACAACACTTTAACTAATAACACCTTCTGTAATTGAATCATGTCCACCTAGTGAGATCAAAAGTCAGAAGTGAAGAGGTTTGAAGATATATGTGATAGGTTAATAATATATCGAGAAGTGATTGATCTAAACTGGTTAACAGTTGTAGAAGTTGAGCAAGGCGTACTCACTCCTGATCTGATGCGGATGTGTGACTGAGCTCCTTCAGTTAGGTGAATCCATTAAAACTAATGTAGTCATCATCAAATGTAGAAGAATTACAGAACTATTGATTTTGGGGATTTATTTACCGCTACACGTTTTTAAAAGTATAATTACTATAAGGTTGAAATTTAGATTTTCAACATAGTGTTAGAAGGATTGTTCCAGAACATTTTGAACTGGTTGATGACATAATGTGACAAAACTGTTTTAAGAATGTAGGAAGATAGAGAAATTATAAAAAAGTTTAGAAATGAATTCATTGAATTATGATCTTTATTAAATGGTGATCTACGCTGTGTGGATTTTAGCATTGCCATTGAAGGTTATCCGCTAACTCGTTTTGAATACAAACGATTGTTATAGAAAAAAAAATAAAATGTGATTAGCAGTAAAATACAGGATTGTTTGGGACATGTCAGCTGGATTAAAAATATGTCCCAAATTCCATTCTTAACTTTACTTTATCTATCCTATACCACCTTGTGTCATTCTAGCTAATATTGAGGCAACCCCCACAGGATCCCCATATGTCAACAACGAAGCACTTCAAATTTAAATGAATGGTTTTGTTATATTTTTATGGCTTATGCAAATCTTAATACAATATATTCGTATCGTTTATTCATTTCATGTCCCACCCCACTGTATTCAGTCTATGGTGAGAAATTAAACCAAAGAAACTACTTTGTGTTTTAGGATGTGAATTCTTTAAAATAAATTCGGCAAAAAATGAAAGCTGAAACATATTTATACTTGGAAGGAGCCTATAGTTACTCTTGGCTTAACTTGAAAAATGAAGTGTGGGAATGATAATTTGTGTTCCAGTAAATGGGTGTTTCGAAAACAGTGTATACCATATCTTTTTTTAGCTTATCTAGTTAAATCTTTCGAAGATACTCAATGTTTATTCAGTAGTAAGCACATTTTTATATTAATACTAGTAACTTCAAAACAATCTATTATAATCTATATTTGAATCATGCTATTAAACTTATCCAGTTAAATAAACTCAGTTGTCTCAAATGTTTACAATTCAGGGACAACATACGCTATAGCTATTGGAATATTTATAGTGTAGTGAATGAACTCTCAGCATACATCACAAAAGTAGTAGACAGAAAACTTTGGAACTAGGTTTCGTGCTAGTTGTCATTTGTCAGTACGGTGTAGCCATAATCTTGGGTGAATTAATGATACCTACAAGATTAAAATCAACTTTATCGAGAATCACTGACTGGACTCTTGTTTTCAACTGGTCCAAAGTTTGCTATTGGTTGCCCAAAACGATCTAACAAATGACTATGGTGAACCTGATGTCAGATCACTATGACTAATATTCAAGTTGTATCTTCATTGATTGATTTTGAATAACACTTAAGACTGTGAAGTCATTACATCGGTTGCGTTTCAGCGATCAATTATTTGTGTATACTATAGCAATAGACTAGAAAGTTGAAACTTTTCATTTCAGGAAATTAATATTTTATAGTATATTTATTTCTATAGTTGAGTTCATGAGTCAATTGAAGCTAGACTACCATGGAAAACCTGAAAGCACTGAGCGAT